CACTCTCTATAGAGGAAGTCTCATCTAATAAGATTGAGACATCACAACTTGCAAAACCAAGGATTAATTCGTAAGTAAATTCACTAGCTTAAAACTAAATGTGAAAAAAAAAAAAACAATGGCTGCTATATTTATATAGTTGCAAAAGTACATACACAAAGCAATTGTGAAAGTGTAAGCAAATAAGAGACGTTGCCATTCTCCGATTGTCTGCTATATATATATCAATCATCAAAAAATGGCATTTCCTAAAAATTTCTCATTAATATTCAAATAATCGGGATGTTCGTTGATTCACCAATTGTGTTGAGGCTTGAAGTGGATCCGATGTTTGAATTAACAAGTCGTCCGATAAAGGAGACCGATGATCGTTTTAATATAATGCCTTGCCCCAAAATAAAAAAAATTAATTTAACTTGGAAATTGAAGTTCAATTTGAAAATAATTTGGCACAAAATAAAAGGCTTTAGGCAATGAATTTAAAACTAAACTGGACGTGGTACCTTTCTTATGAAATGATGTTTTTGGGTGATTGATATCTTCACAAAGCGTAATCGAATCCTTCCTTGAGAATCTCTTCAATAGTACTTATTTTTAGGTTTCTAGTTCCTTTAATACCGAGCGGTGACTCCAAACTTAATAGTAACTCGCATCCTAAAAAATCCCCACAAATACGCTACAAATATCTAAAACTTAAATCTTAATTTTTTTTTTTTTGAGATTTCCATCCAACGTTTGGTAGTGACGGAAAGCATTATGAATCCTACACTTAAGGATTTCCCCGATGTAAAATCTTAGACTGCTAGGAAATTATTTACCATTGAGCATAAGGAGTTGCTAGTGAAAGGAGAGAAATTGATGAAACAAGCGACAACTTCTTGTACGAGTTATGGATGCTCTCATCATTATAATTATATTTATGGCTATATTTACTATTTCAAGCGACAACAATTAGGATACCAGCTATTCGATTTTTAAAGATAAGAAAACCTATATGGTTTTTTTGGTATAGAATGCAATTTCTCTCTTTTCTTCATCAATATTGGTATTGATGCTTGTTAAAGGATTATCTCACCCAAAAGCTTAAGCTATTAGGTGAGGTCTCAAGATATAATTTATATTATTCTCTAACACACTCTCTCCAATGAAAGCCCTTTAAGCTTGAAACTTGTATAGGCTTACACTATCTTGTTCTTGATTAATTAGAAGAGAAAGTGTGCTTGATTAATGGTTTAGATATTATTGTCAATTTAAAACATAAATGAATAAATAAATATTTTGAGATGTTTATAAATTACTTAATTGGTTTGGCAAGTTAATTCATGGTAAGTCAAGAAATTCATTTAATCAAATAGAAATTAGAAGTTAAGTTAACAAAAGGGGCCAAAGGATTAAAATAAATAAATAATATTTATTTGATATGGATCAATTAATTAAGTGGTGTTTTCTAAATTAAAATTAGCTTCCAAAAGGCTTAACAAGTTAATTAGTTCCCAATGAACTAAATTGAGTTTTTAATCAAGTTAATTAATTGGAATTGATATTTTAAATGATAGTTAAATCAATAAAAGACCAAATGGGTTTTTTTTTTTAATTAAATCTGAATTATTTAGGAGATAATGGAATTAAATTTAAATTAATTTGTTAAATAAACAAAGGCTAAGTTTGATCAATTCACATTGTTGACTAAATTAATTATTCATACTAAGTAAAAGTAATTTAAAGAAAAATAAAGAGGCATTGAAGTGTTATTTTAAAATATTTATATTGAATTTTACAAGTATGAATTTTTTGGCATATTTATGGGCTAAAATATTAACACAAATTAATAAAGGAAATCTAAATAAATTGTCAAGTTATAATAATTATGTTCATTAAATGAATATAAGTTGGAAACATTTCATACCCATTTTAATTAAAAGGTGGATCTACATATATAAATTAAGTAACCTTCTCCGATAAATGTTAATTATTTAGACGAGATATGACACAAGGCTTAGTGTCTCACGTTCATTGTATTAAGAATGTGATGCGTTGTCGGTAATACTCTCAAACTATTTAGATTCTAGGTCGGGGTTGTTACACTATTATCTTAGTTGGTTAGAGTTTTGTGCCGATAACGTGTTATAAAAAAAATAATAAAAATAATAGAATTGGAGAGAAAGATGATAGAAAAATAAATTTATTACGAAATAAATTAAATAAATACAAGTGATAGCAATTCCAAAACAGCTCTCTCAATCTTTATAAAAACAAACACGTGATAAACTAATGAACAATCAAGTCTATTTATAAGCTTCAAGATTATAAAGAGAATTGAAAGGAACTATGAAAAATTAAAGGTGCATAAATGGTTTAATCAAATGTACCACATTTTCTATTTTTACATTAAATAATGAATTGAATCATATTAAAGATGATGAATAATGGAGATATGATATAAACATGGATATTCATTATTTCATAATGGTTTTCAAATTGTTCATTTTTTTTTTATTTTTTTTTGTCAAGTATAAGAAGGAAAATCGTTCATTGGTAATCTCATCTATTTATTTTTCATTTCTTTTCTAGTAAGACACTTTGCATCAATAAATGAACAAAAGCTTGTACCGGTTTTACATTTGCTATGAGTCAAGGATGTTTTACATTATTATTAATTATCAAAAAAGTACTTCAATAAAAAAAATAAAAAAAACCTTGAGTTATCGAACGAGGAATCAAAATGATTTTATATAAATTCTTTAACACATCCATTCAAGTGAAGATTAAAACTTAATGATCGTAATCCTGATCAAGTTATTGGATGAGGCACCATAGTAGTTTCATTTTAGCTCTCTAACAATTATCAAACACAAGATTCAAACAAAATCTGCATCACTTCACCGCAAAACAGAGTACTACTTTCGATTGATCAAACCATGCTCAAATTTGGAATACGATTTCAACTTCTACATTAAACAGTAATCACTCAAAGTACAGAACAAACATTTCATATCTTAAGAAAACTCCAAAGATGCTTGAATATCCTCTTGATAAAATTTGAAAAGGGCATGCCTTAAATTGCAAGACAAAAATATTCAGTACCAGCGCTTCATTTTCCGGTTGAAGATACCCGGTCCATATGTGGATATGAAAATCTGAACGAGGAGGGGAAATTGCAGCAATATAAAAAGGGTTACAGGGATTCCCGCAAGTAAACAAATAGGAATGACAACTTTCAATTTTCCATCCAGCACAATTATCAGAGCTGCACAAAAAGCAACCATCATGGTTGCAATCGAGATGAAAAGCATAGAAAGACCGATTACCAGCTTTGTAGGCAACGATACAAGGAAATCTTTCTCTGAATATCGTGATGTGAGAATTCCGAGAAACATCAACACTGACGTAGATGACGCGAAGAGAGAAATTGCATCGGAGATTATAAAAGTCATAAATGACTTTTCATATAAAAACACTGGAAAGCCAGTATCTTCGTTACCACCAGGAACGGTAAATGCTGCAGTGAACATTACTGTGATGATAAGAGCTCCTACAACTGTCGATGAAGTTGCTGTCTCCTTCATCCATTTCTCCCCATCTGCCATCAACTGTTGATGGCTCTTGGTAAACAATTCGCCAGGTGTTTCTCCATTATTATTGCGATATGTTTTAGCCCTAGGATTCACAATACTTTCCACTTCCTGCATTAACAAAATCATTAAGCTAGAAGTCATATATCAATAAAGTGTCATAGTGTACTTAGCGTGTTTGTCAATGTGATCCAGCATATATATATATATATATGTTTTTTACCTGGTACCATTGCAGTTCTCTCTGCATTTGAAGAGCTGCGCCCGAGATACAAGTCAATCGAGCAGCAGGTGATAAAGCTCCTGCGCAATGTAACATAGTATTTCCTAATTTATCTGCATCAGAAATGATCGCTCCGCTGTTTCCTTCAAGCCCGTAAAAAAGGCTAAAAACCTTTTCTTGTCTGTGCGCAATTGAAGCCATGAACATATTTCTCTCATCTTTGTCAATAGTGTACAACGTATCAGGACAAAATTCAACCATGCTGACAATAAACTCAACAATACCGTTCTGGATAGCTTTGCCAAATGAGTCATATATCCCACATTCTTTGTACTTGCCAATATCTAATGTTGATACATGTTCACACATGCGACGCAGAAGCTCAATAGAGTAGACATGATTCAGCTTCATGTCATATATTTGCTTTATGCCTAAGTGAACGAGTAGAAAATAATCAAAACATGAAGCCTGTTATGATGAGAACAAAATCATGTGGTAATGGCTGGTTGTATAATACACAATACCTAAGAATTTGAGGAGGCTTACAACAAGAGTGTGCGATCTACCTAAAGCTGCAAAATAAAACATTCCATTAACATTAGATACTAAGTTTTCATGATCAAATTGCAGAGGTTCAACATACGAAAAATATCACCAATTTTATGCTCCAAGCTTGCAATCCAATGTAGCCTCTATAGAAGCAAAGTAAAAGGAAGTAGTATGAAGCAATATTGAAAAAGAGATTACAGAAACTATAACATATACCTTGTTGCATAATGATCTTTGATTCACTCTGACTTTGATCAACACTATGCATATGATCACCTCTGCAGGCTATAAGTGGTCGAATGTGTATACCTTTTCATGAGAAAGACTTCATAAGTGAGCAAAATATATATTTAAACACAGAAATGGTGAGAAAACTGGAGAAATTTTGATACCGACTGGAATAGATCCAATTTTGCCATAATGCAAGTCGACTTCCACTGGGGAATATGTCAGGCGTGTCAGCCAATTTAAACACAGGATTGATACTTCCAATCTTATCCACTGCGGTAGCCAAACTAGGAAAATGGTGTAGCAGATCCAAAGCAATATCTGATATTTTAGCATTTCAAAAGCAATAAAGAAGCATCAATAAGTATATATGTAGATGAGGTTCTTTCAATGTGCTGTTTGTAACATATTATAGAAAAGTAATGCTCTTAGCTTTGAAGAGGGTAGCTCGTACCAAACATTTTGCACGTTATAGAAAACTGAAGGAGCAATGATCCATGGCAGCCATTGTCTTGATTTAGTAGTTCCAATGGAGTTACAAAATAAAGATAATGGGTCAGATCCTTATGGTTTCCACAACAAGATTCTACAACTGGAATACGTCCTATTCCATTAAGAAGGTTAACCAATTTTTTGTTCTTTCTGATCATGCATTTGGCCATCTTTTCCGTTCCTAGGCAAGCCGCAAGGTCAAGGGCTGTATTACCATAATTATCTACTATTTCCAAGTCTTCTGGTGACATAAACTCTACCAGCTTTTCCCCAACTTCCATATTTACGCCGACAGTCGCTACATGAAGAGCTGTTCCCCCATTAGATGTAATTTTAGCATTTATCGCATCCGGATGATGGTCAAGAAATCTTTTTACAGAATCCCAATTCCCTGAATATGCAAGCTTGTTGAGTTCAAGCCACCGAGTATATGCGTTCTGAACAAGACCTGCCAAAGTCATGCATTTATTGTAAGAGGAGAAACAACATGAAATTGATTTTCAACCCAGTACAATTAGCCGTAGTCTTAGTTATGTTTCAAAAAATATATATAACGAATAGCTAATGGAAAACAGAACATGCATGAACTGATTTCATACAGCTCTATCTCTATGCAAGAAATCATCAAATGTGATTGCTAGCTGTGCATCTCAGAATTGTGAAGAGAAAATCATTGTTGTGGTACAATTACTTGCATTCTCTCCAAGTAATAGTGGTTCCGCTGTTTGTAGCTGCAATTTTTGCATATTTTCCAAAGCATCCCAAGCTTCTTTAGCCGAATCACTGGTCCTAATCTTGGAAATTATGTCTGGTGAACATGAAATTTGAATGGCATGTAAAGCAGCTGCGTTCCTTTTACACCAAGCCTCGGAATTAGTCTGAGCCCTTTCTTGATTATCAGGAGCCTTAGAGTCGACTTTGGCAATCTCTTGATAATCAACATCCTTCTTAGAGTTGGCTTGAGCGCCTTCTTGATTATCAGGAGCCTTAGAATCGGCTTTAGCAATTTCTTGATTATCAGAAGCAATGGTGTCTGCTCCAGCACCTTCTTGATTATCAGAAGTAGTGTGAGAGTCTGCTTTGGCAACCTCTTCATTATCAGGAGCCTTAGAGTCGACTTCAGAGCCCTTTTCATTGGGAGGTCTGGTATGTGGATCAACAACGGGCGCGGCTTCTTGATTATCAGAAGTTTGAGAGTTGGCTTTGGCAGCTTCTTCACTATCAGGAGGCTTAGAGTCAACTTCCGCGTTCTTGTCATCAGAAGCTCCAGTAGTTGGTTCAACAATATCCCATAGACCTTGAGCTAACAAGTAGCTTTTCATACAGCATCTCCAGTTCTCATAGTTTTCATTACTGAGGACTTCAACAACTACTGCACTTGGGACTACATAGGTTGCCATGTTTAAAAGCTGTCTACAGATATCTACAGATCAGGGGATAGCAAGCACCGATGCATTAATTACTGCAAAATAATCGAAAGGCACTACAGTCTTCTCATGATAAATTACTGATTACTGATGGGTTAGAAATTAGGCCATTCCCCTAACTTCTGCAGAGAACATAACCTTAGAAGAAGGGGGGCAAAAAAAAAAAAAAAACAATAACTTGAGCTAAATATTGACTCCAATAGATGAATTAATCCGATCACAAAGTTAATGTTCAAGAGATTGCTCCAAAAATCAAGAGAGACGACAATGCTAGCGTATCAATTATTCATGCATTAATGCAAAATTAAGTTGCTATGAACAAAATAATCGACTTACATATTGCAGAAAGTATTTCCTCCCACCAGTTTCTAGCTGTCCAGAAGTATTTTGCTCAAGTATAATTTTATTGGACTGAGGTAAAAGAAGATAATTATGAGAATGTACAATAAACAAATGACTACCAGAAGACAAAAGAAACAAATGACTACCAGAAGACTATTAAACTAAAGAGGGCCCTGCTTTTCTTTTCTATTGGGGTAGTTCTGCAGTGGTGTAGGTCTTTCTTTCTTGAAAAACGATTTGCTTAGACAAGACAAAAAAAAAAAAAAAAAAAAAAAACGAAGAAGAAGAAGAAGAAGAAGAAGACAAAAAGCGGGTCTTTCTTTTTATTTTTCTAACACTCTGGCCTTTCTCCCTTTCCATTGAGCTCCGGCATTGACATATATATTATTGTAGGGTGTTGGGTGTTTGTTTATACAGTGTTACACATTATGCCAAGTTGCCAACGGCCTTTCGTCTTAATCTTCGTTGCTATCCGACTCTCAATGAACTCTTGAAAATCATTTATTTTAATTTTATGATTTTAAGATTTTGTCTTAAGGAATAATGAAAAAAGAATTAATCTCTTTACATTTTGCTATTTTCAAATCAGTTGCCCGTATAGTTTTAAGATGTTTTAAATTATAAATTAGTCCAATTTTTTCAAAACAAAGTAAATAATAACTATAGTTTCAAAAACTAATGAGTTAGTCTCTATATTTTTAAATCTACTTGGACTTGATCTTTTTTACTATTTTTTAATTTATTTTGATTTTTTGTCCTAAGAAATGGAAAAAGAAAAAATAAGTAAAAAAATATGAAGAAGAAGAAGGAAAAAAACCATTAACTTAATAAAATAGTGATTAAAAAAATTGATTTTATATTACAAATAATTACGTGGTAGTAAAGAAAAAATGATTTTTTTTTTGCTCTTAAAAAAACATGATTTTATTTATGAGAATAAAATAAATAAAATGGACTTTAATTTTCCGAAAGCAAGGATGATATAAATTCTTCCTTATTAGTTCGTATACAATTGATAGTGTTTTGAAATTCAACATTTTTGAATTGTAAACCTAATTAAGATCTATGCATTGAAAAGTATTATATTTTTTAAAAATAGATTTTTTTATAGAAAAAATAGCATTACACTTATAGGAGAATAGAGAGAGAGAGAGAGAAACAAAGCTTAGGGCGATATGTGGAGTAAATTATAAATTAGTCCTATTTTTTGAAAACAAAGTAAATAATAACTCTAGTTTCAAAAACTAATGAATTAGTCTCTATATTTTTATATCTACTTGGACTTGATCTTTTTGTTATTTTTTAATTTAATTTATTTTTTGTTTTAAGAAATAGAAAAAGAAAAATATAAGTAAAAAATATGAAGAAGAAGAAAAAAAAACCATTAACTCGGAGCTAAATATTGACTCCTTCGGGTGAATTAATCCCGTCACAAAGTTAATGTTCAAGAGCTTGCTCAAAAATCTAGAGAGACAACAATATGCTAGTCTATCAATAGTCATAACACATATTTTACATTGAATAGTTAAATTAAATTTATTAATATATAAAGTTAAGAAATAATCACTCACCATGAGGCTTTAATTTTTTGAATAAAAGTCAATTTCAACTATCTAACTCTCTATATAGAGTCATAGCCTTAAAAAGATTCAATGGTCCAACGAGAGATTGTACAATTCAAGTCACTTGACGGACCAAAAAAAAGCTGCGAGTGAGAGGGAGTGTTAGAACGCACATCCCACATTTGAATAATTAAACCAAATATTATTAATATATAAATTTGAGAGGGAACTACCAATTATAATGTTTAAGTCTTTTGAATGAAAATCAATCTCAACTATCCAACTCTATATTACTTTAACGCAAAAGTTGCTAATTAAGAATTTCATAACCCATTTTGACCCCCGTATATTTTCATACAAAATTCAAAAAGAAAAAGGTATGTTGCATGGTATGTTTTTTCATGATTTTAAAGCATTTTTATTATTTTTTAGGATTTTAATTTCTTAGAATTATTTCCCATTTTAATTTAAAAAAAAAAAAAGAAAAGAAAAGAAAAAGAAACAAAAAAGAAGATGAAAAGAATAAAAAAAAATTGAGAAGATGATTTGAGATCCAATTAAAATCAAGTGAAAAGTGAGGATCAAGTGGCATTCAATTAGGGATATAATTGGAAATGGATAAAAATTGAGGAACTTGATTAAGAATTAATCGAGTGCAAAATTTAAAAAAATCAAGAGAATAAGGATTAAATAATTTCAATTAGGGAGTTAATTGAAGACAAATAATAACATATACATTGAAATTAAAATAATCAAAGGAAGGATTTAAATTGATTTTATCCTAAATCCTAAAAAAAATCATTATATAATCATCCATTTCAGTTCATTTTGGAGGGTGCCTCCATAATTATTTTCCTACCCTCCATTAAAACCACCATTAGCCTTTTCCTCAACTTGACCAACCACCACAACACTCCAATACATCCAACCCTCTTCCATCACCCAAAAAATCCTACAACAAACCTCCAAACAAAAAATAATTGAAAAAAAAAAAGAGAAAACAAGCCAAACAACCCTTAAAGAACCCACCATACCCCGAATAGCGACCGCTAAATCGATCGAACTTCTTCTCCCAAATCGACAACCTTTCGGTTGATATTGCGTCCAATCACCGGTACCAACGGATAGCTCAACTCCCGATCAATCCTTCCCCATTGGTTAGAGGAGAAGAGGATGTTGGAGGAGGGATAAATCAACGACCCGACGAAGGGGTCGGACAATTGGTTTAATATGATGCTATAAACAAAAATAAAAAACTTAATTTGGCCTAAAAAATAAATAAATAAAACTTGAAGTTCAAATTGAAAATAATTTGGCACAAATAAAACATCTTAGGAGATAAATTTTAGGATTAAGCTAGACATGATATCTTTTTCGGGAAAGAGCGCTTTTGGGTAATTGATATCTTTTCAAAAGCATAAACAACTCATTATCCTAAAATCTTTGAATCAATGCTTATTTTAAGTTTCTAATTCCTTCAATACTAAGTGACGACTCCCAAAATCAACAAGTATCTCACATACTCAAAATTAATAAATAATTCAAAAATAAATAAATTTAATTTTTTGGGAGTCCTATTGAAAGTCGTGTAACGACAAACCATATTAGTGTTGTGTTGTGTTTCTTTATGTAAATGATCGACAAACCATATGTGTGTGTGTGTAAAGTTAATCAATCAAGTCTTCTCTTAATATATAATCCAATAAAATCTTGACGTATTGATTATATAAGTACCCTAAAAAGTCTTCGATCCAATGGCTTGCTGGTATTTTTTTTTTTTATAAAAAAATCAGTGGGTAAAACGAAAGGTTGTTGTGGCTTATTAATTTATTATACTCACCAACCCATTCTACCCAATACATCACGTGACAAAATCAACTTGCTCTTAAACAATCCAAACCTTTCAAATCTCAAAATCATATTCCCCCACAAGCTATGCTTATTTTAAAGGCGCAAGTAGCATTAGTCTTTCCTAGGAACCTGATTGCTGTGATTTCTTACTTCAAGTTTGCATAGACGAAAATATCACCCAAATGTAATAGTCAATATTGTTCTCCATCCATAGAATGATACTGTTAAAATGCTGGTGCAATTTTAATGAATTAGGCTACTAAATGACAACCAACCTTTGGTCTAACAGGCTTAACAAAGGATGGCAATAAAGGAAGGCCGTAGACCTTAATTTGTGAGGGCTTGAGCCCAGCTCTCACTCCCCTCTTTGCTACATTTGTTGACGGTCAATAACATCTTGTCACAAGCTTATTGTAAAAAAAAACTAAAAAAACTGAAGTAAACACTACTCCTTTCCTTTACTGTTGCTTGCTTCAAACTCAGTGTCACTGTTATTTGTGACTGAATGGGTGACTGAATGTTTCTGCCCTTTTCTTTTTCGTTATTTTCTCTTTTGCCATTCCCATTCTTTGAAACAGATCATAACCCTTTCTTTGTGAAGTTACATCTCTATCCTCAAACATAGCTCATATCGTTATTGTTTCTCTTTAGCCTTTTTTAGTCTTTCCATTCCCTTTGTTGTTGCCCTTTCTTTCTTTCCTATCGTTTTCATGTCCTTTTCTTTCTCTTCTGCCTTCCCCCCCCCCCCCCCCAAATGTTGTCTCCTCTCTCTTCATCTTTGATACCTCCTCATTAATTGGTATTGTACGGATATATTTTTCCCCTTCTTTTTTCTTGCCTCCTCATTAATTGGTGTTGTGCTATTATTCCTTTTTTGCCTAATTTTTTCTTCTGAACTTTTCCATTATCGTTTGCAGAGCCGCTTGGTGCAAATGAGGGCCCAAATTATGCCTTCTTGGACTGGATTGTTGTGTTTTGTTCCTAATTTTGTACGGAAACTTCTGTTGATGCGCCTTTTGTGTTCCCTCAGTTTGTTTTTCCTTCAAAATTGATTGGGATTCGTTCTGTTCAAAACGAATTGGGAATCTCACCATCGTTCTGGCTGCCCATCGTGTCATTTCTTCTTAGCGGCTATTGGTACTTGGTTGTTTTTGTGTTGTGATTATCCTTTTGGGGAGTTCATGCTTCAGCAAATTTGTTCCTGCCATGCACCCCTCTACTTCAATTGATTTCATCATCATTTAGTTTCTTTCCAACCAAATAAGGCTTATTCCTTGTTTTTTTCCCTCCTTCCTTATTTTTACTTTTTATCTGCTGTTGCTTAGGCCTTTTTTTTTCCTGGTCCCACAACAATTGCTAGACCTCATCAGTCAGCTAAAGATTTTTCAAATTTGACGTAACCTTTTCTGCAATAGATCGTCAGGCCACCGCTTCATTAAAACTCATGTCTTCATGCCACTAATGCAGCAGCATAAATATGCTATCAGCCTCGTCCATATGATTAAATTAAAAAAACCTCATCAAATCCAATTACAATTGAACACAATTTGAATAGTGATAGGAGATTAGGCTTTTAAATTATTAACTCTTAACTTACCCATCTTGACTTAAGTTTTTCTTTCAAGACAGTTTTTTTTTTATTATTTTTTTAAAGAACCAAGAACTAAGGAATTGAATAAAATTTGAAGTACTTGATGATGCTCATAAATGAGTTGCCAGCGAACAAATAATTCCATTTCCTTATGTATCAATGTCAAACCCCTTCCCTCTTACATTTACACAAAGACCAAACCATAGATCTTGACATCAGTGGTTTCTCTCTGGTACGTACATGCCGATTCTAACATGGCAACAGACATTGCTCCAACCGCAATTGTTATTGAAGTCCTACAAGATGGTAACTATGATGATTGGAGTGCCTGCATGAAAAGCTATACGTTAGCTCAAGACCTTTTGGATTTTATTGAACCTACTGATCGTCAAGGAGGTGAAGAATTTGTCTCTAAGGCATCCGGGAAAAAGAATGCTGCAGCTTTACAAGCAATTTTTTTTTGTAGTGCATTTTAATTAAAAGTTGGATCTACATATATAAATTAAATAACCTTCCACGGTGAATGTTAATTATTTAGACAGATAATGACACGAGGCTTAGTGTCTCATGTTCATTGTACTAAGAAGGTAAGGCACTACCGGTAATACTCTCAACCTATTTAGATCATAGGGCAGGGATGTTACATTATTATCTTGGTTGGTTAGAATTTCGTATTAACAACATATTATAAAAAAACGATAACAATAATAGAATTGGAAAGAAAGATAATAGGAAAATGAATTCACTATGCAATGAATACAAGTGATATCAATTTCAAAACAACTCTCTCAACCTTTACAAAAACAAACACGCAACAAACTAATAAATAATCAAACTTATTTATAGATTTTAAAATTTAGAATAAAATTAGAAGGGACTATGAAAAATTAAAAGTGCATAAATGATTGATCAAATGTATCACTTTTTTAATTTTTATATTAAGTGGTAAATTAAATCGCTTTAAGAATTATGAGTAGTTGAGATATGATATGAACATAGATATTTATTATTTCATAACAATTTTCAAATTGTTGATTCTTTTTTGGTCAATTATAAGAAGGAAAATCGTTCATTGGTAATCTCATTATTTTTTATTTCTTTTCTAGTAAGACACTTTGCATCAATAAATGAATAAAAGCATGTGCCGGTTTTACATTTGCTATTTCTGTACTTTGAGTCAAGGATGTTTTACATTATTAATATCAAAAAACTATTTCAATAAAAAAACCTTGTGTTATTGAAGATTTTATATAAATTCTCTAACACATCCACTCATCCACACAAGTTGAGATTCAAACTCAGTGCTTGTAATCGTGATCAAGTTATTGGATGAGGCACCGTAGTAGTTTTATTTTAACTCTCTAACAATTAACAAACAAAATCTGCATCACTTCACGGCAAACAGAGTGCTACTTTTGATTGATCAAACCATGCTCAAATTTGGAATACGATTTCAACCTCTACATAAAAGAGTAATCACTCAAAGTACAGAACAAACATTTCATATCTTAAGAAAACTTCAATGATGCTTGAATATCTTCTTGATAAATGTTCAGAAGGGCATGCCTTACATTGCAAGACAAAAATATTCAGTACCAACGCTTCATTTTCCGGTTGAAGATACCCGGTCCATATGTGGATATGAAAATCTGAACGAGGAGGGGAAATTGCAGCAATATAAAAAGGGTTACAGGTATTCCCGCAAGTAAAGAAATAGGAATGACAACTTTCAATTTTCCATCCAGCACAATTATCAGAGCTGCGCAAAAAGCAACCATCATGGTTGCAATTGAGATGAAAAGTGTGGAAAGGCCGATAACCAGCTTTGTAGGCAACGATATAAGGAAATCTTTCTCTGAATATCGTGATGTGAGAATTCCTAGAAACATCAACACTGACGTAGATGACGCGAAGAGCGAAATTGCATCGGAGATTATAAAAGTCATAAATGACTTTTCATGTAAAAACACTGGAAAGCCAGTATCTTTGTTACCACCAGGAACGGTAAATGCTGCAGTGAACATTACTGTAATGATAAGAGCAGCTACAACTGTTGATGAAGTTGCTGTCTCCTTCATCCATGTCTCCCCATCTGCCATCAACTTTTGATGGCTCTTGGTAAACAATTCGCCAGGTGTTTCTCCATTATTATTGCGATATGTTTTAGCCCTAGGATTCACAATACTTTCCACTTCCTACATTAACAAAATCATTGAGCTAGAAGTCATATATCAATAAAGTGTCATAGTGTACTTAGCCTGTTTGTCAATGTGATCCAGCATATATATATATATATGTATATGTATGTTTTTTACCTGGTACCATTGCAGTTCTCTCTGCATTTGAAGAGCTGCGCCCGAGATACAAGTCAATCGAGCAGCAGGTGATAAAGCTCCTGCGCAATGTAACAAAGTATTTCCTAATTTATCTACATCAGAAATGATCGATCCGCTTCTTCCTTCAAGCCCGTAAAAAAGGCTAAAAACCTTTTCTTGTCTGTCCGCAATTGAAGCCGCGAACATATTTCTCTCATACTCGTCGATGGTGTACAACGTATCAGGACAAAATTCAACCATGTTGAAAGTAAACTCAACAATACCGTTCTGGATAGCTTTGATAAATGAGTCATATATCCCACATTCTTTGTACTTTTTAATGTCTAATGTTGATACATGTTCACACATGCGACGCAGAAGTTCAACTGAGTAGACATGATTCAGCTTCATGTCATATATTTGCTTGATGCCTAAGTGAACGAGTAGAAAATAATCAAAACATGAAGCCTGTGATGATAAGAACGAAATCAAGTGGCAATGCCTGGTTGTATGATAAACAATACCTAAGAATTTGAGGAGGCCTACAACAAGAGTGTGCGATCTACCTAAAGCTGCAAAATAAAACATTGCAGTAACATTAGATACTAAGTTTTCATGATCAACTGTCAGAGGTTCAACATACGAAAAATATCACCATTTTTATGCTCCAAGCTTGCAATGCAATATAGCCTCTATAGAATCAAAGTAAAAGGAAGTAGTATGAAATAATGTTGAAAAAGAGATTAAAGAAATTATAACATATACCTTGTTGCATAGTGACCTTTGATTCACTCTGGTTTTGATCAACACTATGCATATGATCACCTCTGCAGGCTATAAGTGGTCGAATGTGTATACCTTTTTCATGAGAAAGACTTCATAAATGAGCAAATTATATAGTTAAACACAGAAATTGTGATAAAACTGGAGAAATTTTGATACCGACAGGAATAGATCCAATTTTGCCAAAATGCAAGTTGACTTCCACTAGGGAATATGTCAGGCATTTGAGCCAATATAAACACAGCATTGATACTCATAATCTTATCCAGTGCGGTTGCCAAACTAGGAAAATGGTGGAGCAGATCCAAAGCAATATCTGATATTTTAGCATTTTAAAAGCAATAAAGAAGTATCAATAAATATGTAGATGAGGTTCTTTCAATGTGCTGCTTGTAACATATTATAGAAAAGCAATGCTCTTAGCTTTTAAGAGGGTAGCTCTTACCAAACATTTTGCATTGTATTGAAAACTGGAGGAGCAATGATCCATGGCAGCCATTGTCTTGATTTAGTAGTTCCAATGGAGTTATACAGTAAAGATAATGGGTCAGATCCTTATGGTTTCCACAACAAGATGCTACAACTGGAATACGTCCTATTCCATTGGGAAGGTTAACCAATTTTTTGTTCTTTCTGATCATGCATTTGGCCATCTTTTCCGTTCCTTGGGAAGCAGCATAGGAAAGGGCTGTATTACCATGATTATCTACTATTTCCAAGTCTTCTGGTGACATAAACTCTACCAGCTTTTCCACAACTTTCACATTTCCGCCGACAGTCGCTACATGAAGAGCTGTTCCCCCATAAGATGTAATATTAGCATTTATTGCTTTCGGATGATGGTCAAGAAATCCTTTTACAGAATCCCAATTCCCTTTATATGCGTTCTGAACAAGACCTGCCAAAGTCATGCTTTTATTTTAAGAGGAGAAACAACATGAACATGATTTTCAACCCATTACAATAAGCGCAAAAGACTAAGATTATGTTTATATATATATATACACACACACACATATATATAACGAATAGCTAATGAGAAACAGAACCTGCATGAATTGTATTAAAAGATCATCTCACCTAAAAGCTTAAGGTGATAAGTGAGGTCCTAAAATATAATTTATATTAGTCTCTAGAACACCCCCTCAAGTAAAAGCCCCAACATTTAGACTTAGCTTTTACTTGAGAAATTGGAGATGGTGAGACTTGAACTCAGGATCACATGATCAACCAAGCTCTAATACTATATTAAAGGATTATCTCACCTAAAAGCTTAAGTTGATAAGTGAGGTCCTAGAATATAATTTATATTAGTCTCTAACAAATTGATATCATATGTACAGCTCTATCTCTATGCAAGAAAGCATCAAATGTGATTGCGAGCTGAGCATCTCAGAATCATGAAGAGAAAATCATTGTTGTGGTACCGTTACCTGCTTTCACTCTTGGTGATAGTGGTTCAGCTGTTTGTAGCTGCAATTTTTGCATATTTGCCAAAGCATCCCAAGCTTTTTTAGCCGAATCAATGGTCCTAATCTTGGAAAGTATGTCTGGTGAACATGAAATTTGAATTGTATGTAAAGCAGCTGCATTCCTTTTACACCAAGCCTCGGAATTAGTCTGAGCCCTTTCTTGATTATCAAGGGCCTTAGAGTCGACTTTGGCAACTTCTTGATCATCAACATCCTTCTTAGAGTTGGCTTGAGCGCCTTCTTGATTATCGGGAGCCTTAGAATCGGCTTTAGCAATTTCTTGATTATCAGAAGCAATGGTGTCTGCTCCAGCACCTTCTTGATTATCAGAAGTAGTATGAGAGTCTGCTTTGGCAACCTCTTCATTATCAGGAGCCTTAGAGTCGACTTCAGAGCCCCTTTCATTGGGAGGTCTGGTAAGTGGATCAACAACGGGCGCAGCTTCTTGATTATCAGAAGTTTGAGAGTTGGCTTTGGCAGCTTCTTCACTATCAGGAGGCTTAGAGTCAACTTCCGCGTTCTTGTCATCAGAAGCTCCAGTAGTTGGTTCAACAATATCCCATAGACCTTGAGCTAACAAGTAGCTTTTCATACAGCATCTCCAGTTCTCATAGTTGTCACTACTGAGGACTTCAACAACTATTGCACTTGGGACTACATATTTTGCCATGTTTAAAAGCTGTCTACAGAAATCTACAGATCAGGGGATAGCAAGCACCGATGCATTAATTACTGCAAAATAATCGAAAGGTACTACAATCTTCTCATGATAAATTACTGATTGCTGATGGGTTAGAAATTAGGCCAATCCCCTAGCTACGCCAGCAGAGTACGTAACCTTAGAAGAAATAGGGGAAAAAAACAAAATAACTTGTGCTAAATATTGACTCCTCGATCTGGATGAATTAATCCCATCACAAAGTTAATGTTCAAGAGATTGCTCCAAAAATCAAGAGAAACAAAAATGCTAGTGTCTCAATATTCATGCTTTAATGCAAAATTAAGTTGCTAAGAACAAAACAAAATGAGCAAAATAATCAACTTACGTATTACAGAAAGTATTTCCTCCCACCAGTTTCTAGCTGTCCAGAAGTATTTTGGTCAAGTATAATTTCATTGGACTGAGGTACAAGAAGATAATTATGAGAATGTATAATAAACAAGTGACTACCAGAAGACTATTAAAATAAAGAGGGTCCTGCTTTTCTTTTCTATTGGGGTAGTTGCCAAGTGGTGTAGGCCTTTCTTTCTTGAAAAACGATTTGCTTAGACAAGACAAAAAAAAAAAAAAAGAAGAAGAAGAAGAAGACCAAAAGCAGGTCTTTCTTTTTATTTTTCTAACACTCTGGCCTTTCTCCCTTTCCATTGAGCTCCGGCATTGACATATATATTATTGTAGGGTGTTGGCCTGTTGGGTGTTTGTTTATACAGTGTTACACATTATGCCAAGTTTGATCCAGCTGTAAACAGTTTGAATATTTTTTCCAAATATTATAGGACATACGAGAATGTGGCCTGTGCTTCGCTGTGGGTAAATATTATTTTGTTTCTGTATTAAATCAGCATTTGTTGGCTTATGGTTGGACATATGAGTTATAAATAAATTTAGTTTCAAAGAAATTAAATAAGAAGAATATTTAAATAGATTATGAATACAAAGCGGTGCAAAAATCATGTTAGATCAATCATAATAATGTTTCAAATAATTATATCAATCAATGCTTGTGATAAGTAAAAACAGGGTTTGTTAGCCGATTTTGCATTCGTGAAATTTTTTGAAGCAAAAGATGGCCATAGCTGTTGGAATTAAGAGAATTTGATACATTTAGGTGTCTAGTATATGGTACTCTCATCATTTTTGTTCTGCATATATGTTGTTTTGATAAAACTGGGATGCTTACATCTTATGAAATGATATGCTCATCATCAGTCTATTGATATTGAATTTCATTTCTCCAATTATACACTAATAGTTTAAATTCACATTTCTCTTGAAACTTTAAGCATTTCGTTCATGAAATCATGGTCATAATAATTGTGGACTGTAGCAAACAACTTGTTATGGAAGCGATGATAGATTGTTGAGTTACATATGTACGTGGAGAATCTCACGTTGGTCATCGTCTAAGCTTTTGGGTTGAAGCAGTATCCATCAATACATGAAGCTTTTTTGTACTGGCCCAAACGACTTCCTGGTGCAGATCTCCCCAAAAATCATTTTTATATTTTTATTTGAACTTTAAGAGTTTGTAATACTCTAAAATTTATGCGAAACATTTTCTCAAAATAGATTAGGCACATTGAATAGATCAGTAGGTAACATGCATAAACTACAAATACATATGGATTACTTCATGTTTCAAAATTTGACATTTCTATCTGAAAAAAGAAGCAGCCAGAAGGGCCATGCTAATTAGGCATCAAAGCTAGTATTACAGGACCTCATGCACTTTCATCAACAGAGGACACTCTAGTGTTATAGTTTTAAGTTCGTGCTAGTAAAACCAGGATAAACTGCATTCGTTACAATTTTCGAATACTTCTTTGCCAAAATCCTTGTGTAAGCATTAATAGCAGCCTTGGACACAATATATGCTGAGAAAAGGGTAGGTCAGCATTTAGTTTCAACTAAATGATTCTTAAAATGCTCCAGGAACTCTTCCACCAGCTTGTCAACGTTTTCTTCTGTGAACCCATCAACATCAACTAGCACCTTTCTGGCTGTTTCATGATTAGGAATTAGCTGCAAGAGATACAAATTGTACAATAGAAAACAATACCTTTGATACAGAAAAATAAGTTTACCAATTAGCTTACCATCCAAAATAAGTTTCTAACTTTTCGCTCCCTTTTTGTACACTGGTTTGTCAATTTCCTGCTCTATTTTGGAAAAAATCAATAAATTGTTATATTTTTTAGCCAAGGTATTGTATACATGGCATCAAGCATACGGAATAGAAGGCCCAATATAAAAGAAGAGAATAAGAAAAGCAAGGAAGGCCCTAGGATAATAGTCTATAAAATCAATATATATTTCTCATTACACATCGAAAAGGAAAAGCATGCATCTCCATCTTACTAGCAAAAGACACCTGCCACCCCTTCTCTAAGAGCCTTGCTGTACTTGGCAAAATAATCATCCAGAGGACAACTGACTGAATGTCTCTCATCTCTCACCTCCGCTACAAACTTGACCATCAAGATGTTGTCATCCCCCAGGGTCCTTTGCAAGAAATTTCTCAGCTTGAATAGGTAAGGTCCCTGAAATAAATTCAATGAATAAGACAATGCTAACCCAAAAGTTGTCTTGTTTTGATAAAAATGCATCAGTAGTTCAACAGTAGCACATCACTGTAAATAACATAAAATGCATCAGAACCTTCAAATAAGAGCATTGCATGTCATTAACATCTGGAATAAAAGAATTGATACTAATTACAAAGGAATTTCATGCAATTCATAACACAAATTAACCAAGATAATACAATCATATAGTCGAGGAACAAAATTAAGCATCTAAATTCAAATTATCCAACCTACAAAAGTTTTAATCATGAATCACCAGTAGTTTTTTGTTTTTTTTTAAAAGCAAAACAATTGATGGTTCATATATGCATAACTATGTGACTAAGGAGAAATTGAAACTTTGAACCTATAACTTCCATTTGGATAAGCATGGCAGTGATAAATATGTGTTTTCCCAGAATGTGAATTAAGATGTTGCGATTTTGCAACAAACAAAAGTAAAGAAACACTGTATTATATTCTGTAAAAGCAATTTACACGTCCACATTGACTATACCCATAATTGAAGCACATAGATAATTCACATTTTAAAACTGAACAAATTAAAAAGAATAAGACGCATAAGTTTTATGACATATTTACCTTGACACAATCTTCTTCCTTTATATAACCACAGCTACATCCAAACTCTACCCAAATTTTTTTACTTAAATGTTCTCATTGGCAAATCTCACAACCCATTGATTTGGTCAGTGGATACAACCTCTTCCAAACTCTTTCTGTTGATATTTTTTAAAAAATAAATTAAGCATAATCAATCCAGCAGCTAGAAAAATAGAAGAAACCAAAAACAAAACAAAACTTACCCTCCCATGTAACTGAAAATGAGAAAAGCTTTTCTAAACTGAAGCTCTCCCAAAGCCACCAACTGTTGACTTACTGTTGACTCACAGCCTCTCTGTCTCTATGAATCCATAGTTGAACCTGCAAGCTTCAGTGAAGTTAGAGATTAAGCACCAAAATCGCCAATGTTTTTTCCAATAAATCAAATCATTATATCTCTCTCTTGGAATTTTCCATTGCTGATCAAAATGGCGTTACAGTAGAATGCGAAAGTACAACAAATTTCAAAAATCAGAGTTGGCATCATCCATGCTTTTAGAAACCAAAGCTGCAAAAAGGGATGGCATATCATCTTTCATCACCAACCACCACCCCTATGTCCTAAACTTTTATCAGCCCTCCATATCTGCCTTTCTTTATTGCAAAAATAATGGTGGCTTCCAAGAAACTGCCATATAAAGCTTCAATTGAGTTTGCATTGATATATAAATTGGCCCTGTTTTTAGGTGACTTGGCAAAGTATGGAATCACAGGTGACTAATTATTGAATAGTTAAGCATATACTTATTATTCGAGTCACTGTTTTGGTCAACAAAATTATGAAACTTTTAACCTAACCAGGTGTTCTTGCCCGTTAACACATCCAGTCATTCAATCAAGCAAACGAAAGGGGATAAAAGAGTACGAAACAATTGTCAATCAATGCAATGAAACCCAAAAACATTGAAACCCAGCAAACCAACATTGGAAGCCAACAATCCCACAGCCAAATGGCATAATCCTAAGGGAACAATGATTAAATAGAAGCTCAAAGTCAAGAACATGAGGAAATCTAAACTGTTATGGCAATATTTACAAATAATTGAAAAACCCACCACAAAATATAGTGTCAAATTGGTTGATACTGAACGAAGAAGCAAAAAATGAAAAAAAAATTCTGACCAAATCTAGGCTACCTATCAAATTGATTGATGATGAACAAGTCTTTTCTACCTTTTTAGCACTTGTTGGAACCAAAGCAAATTGTAGAAAGCAACTCGCCAGTGTTTCATTTTTTCTTGCCTCTGTGCCTTGCATCTCTTCTTCCATCCTCGAAAACAGAGAGAGAGAGAGAGAGAGAGAGAGAGAGAGAGAGAATCAATCAAAAGACAAATTTGGTGGTGATGGAGATTGGGGTTACAGGTTTGGATGAGGGAGATGGTAGCGGCTGCTTGACAGCAACGAAGGGTCTTGGAAGGGTAGCTATCGACGACTGAGCGGACTGCTATTGAGAGGTGTGGAGATCGGCAGTGGGTGAGGAGATTTGGGAGAGAGGTAGTCTTCGGCTGGAGCAGCTTGTGGGAGAAGAAGAGAGGCACAAAGGAATAAGAGAGAGGAACGAAGAAAAATAGGAGTGCGGTTTTGAACAGTTAAAGGAACAGTTTTTTTAGTCATAATGAACAGTATTTAGAACGGTAAACGATCATTTTAGTTTAGTTGTTTTTGTTAATTTTTAATGATCCAGCTGTAAAATTAAGCCAAAATACTATTACTCTACAATTCAAGTAATTTATATCATCCTTGCTTTGGGAAAATTAGAGT